TAGGATTGTTGCAGTATTATTCATATTAAACCACAAACAAGAGAGGACGAGAAGCAGGAAGTGAGGCATTTATAAAAAATAAAGGTTAATACGGTCCGTAAAGAAGCATCAGCATGTGGACGGAGGCGAATGGAAAAAACGATGTCGGTGAGGTCAGAGCACTTTACTGCTTCACCTCAATGAGTCATCGCTCAGATTTAAGTCAAAGTGTTTTATGAATGGAAGTGACTCAAGGCTCATGGGGGGGGGGAGCAGCAAACAGAAAGGGGACATTTACAGTAACATGCATGAGAAGTTTCAGGTTAAACCCCCTGCTCTCGTGTGGTCAGAGTCATATGTGGTGCTGCATGGAGGGTCATACATGCTTTGATGCTCAGAGGTACTCCTGTACACTAAAGCAATGCCCAGGGTTTATTACCCGTTAAAACGTCTGGCAGAGTGTTTTCCACTGAACTCAGATCAGCATAAACACCATTCAAATGTCTGGAAGCAGAGATGATGGAGGTTCCCACTAACCACTTCCCCCCCGTCATGAAGACAGGAAACATCTCTGGTTGAATTCATCTCCACTGAATAAAGGAAGGATGGTAAAACTAAAGCTATAGAAATACAATAATGCCACTTCCTGTAAGTGCATTCAAAGATTACATATGTCTTTGAGCTAAGGTAAAGTAATAGGGTTCTTTTATGGATGAGCCATTTAACTGTCGCGTTGATGTACCGTGTTTATACTGAGAGCTTTTATATGACTGATTTCCTATTGTGGAAGTGTGATAAAGTGGGTTTCTCTTTTTATACTACATCTAGTCTTCGGGCACATGTGACACATTTTTTTTCTTGTGGTATATTTTCGGAAAAAACTGTAATCCAATGGGCCAAATACTAAATATCGCACAAGAACATGGCTATTCCTGAGAAAACACAAAAAAGAAAAAGTAATTTAAAAAAAAAAAATCTTAATTGGTATTTATATATATACACGAGTACTTTTTCTTTCAATACCTTTTCCTGATTCAGGGTATATGCAGGAATCCTGAAGTCAAATGTAATACATTTTAAGACCTTTTTTAAGACCCTTTCCATACATTTTAAGACCTCATCACCACTTCGAGTTCTAACCGGTTACATTGGCGACACTTTACCTCACATTTACTATATACAGTATTGATTGTCCTTCCTCCTTATCTTCCAACCATTTGGACGCAGACTTGCATTTCCCCATAACGGTGTTGTTTAACAACCGGCGTAAACGGACCTTGGCGCGCTATCAAGCAGTGAGCGTGCGATGTCCTGTTCAGATGACGTCAAATCCAACGGGATGCCATAAATAAACTACACAGAATCACACTACACACCTACGCAATGATTACATTCAGGAAAACTGTAGAATACAACCTCTTTGGACAATTGATATACTTATTGAAAACAAGCTACCAAATGTAATACCTTGGAAAATGCCGTTTAATACTTTTTAATAGCCTTAATTTTCGCTAAAATTGATTTATCAACTTTTAATACTTTTTAAGAACCCTGTGATTACACTTAAATAAAAAAATTTACTTGGACTTTTACTTGTATTGGAGTGCTTTTATAGTGTAGCATCAGTACTTTTACTCAAGGATCTGAATACGTCCTACACAACTTCATTTAAGTAATACTTTTTTTGTTGGCAAAATAAAACACCCAAAAAAAGAAAGATTTTGTCCTTATAAGTTTACAGTTTAAACTCTATACATATTTTATTCTGACATGTCTGGAATTTAAATGTTAGGGTTTTAAGTTTCAACAGAAAATGCAGTATTACCCTTAAGTATTTTTTAACATAAATCCATTGAAATACTGGTTTAGGATAAATCTTTAAGACGCAGCTTGACAGGCGAGATTTGGACAGAAACAGCTGAAGCAGAAATTGCATTTAATACTCTTTTATTCATCATTTCCTCTTCAAACACATTTCCTGATGTACATTTCCGTTCAAAAGGAAAAACTCAAGTGAGGTAAAAGTCCTGAAAAATGAAATAGTATAATGGTTGTAACCATCAACTCGTCGTCACAATCACGAAGCTGACAAAAGCTCTTTTGCATTAACTATTTCAAAAAAAAATATATAGTGCCACAAATTTCTTTTTTTTTTAAACTTTTATAGCTACTTCTTCATACACACATGCAGACAAGCACACACCTCCACGCATTAACGTAAACACACATCTGCTGCAGTAATATTCACAACACTTCATAAAGGAAGTGTAAGAAAGTCTCCATCACATTCCTATGGTGTAAGACTTTAGACACACATAACCCACTACAAATACAATCCACAGCTTTCTCTGCACCCCCCAGCGCACAAAACACATCTACAGGTGTCGTAAATAAATACACGCTGTACTAATAAACAAAGGCCCAAACAAGTGGGACAATCACAGGCGGGGGGGGGGGGGGGTGAGAGAAGCAGAGGATTCATACGTAGTTTACAGCAGAAAATAGAATGTGTGTGCTTACAAAAAAAAGGGGGAAATAATCCACCCTCTTTTTTCTCCACATCGTACTTGACAAAAAGTTCACACACACACATCCACCCTGATGAAGGAAATTATTCAACGTGAGCTGCTGCTGCACCCCCTCTCTCCTCTAGTGGGGGGAGGGGGGGGGGAAGGTAAAGCTTTCATTAAACAGGCACACATTTTTTAGTCATCAGAAAAACGCACGAGTATTTACATTCCAGGCTGCGTTCACCATCGATTGTCTAGAAAACGCACGTTGCATTTTCTTTGACATCGCTCAAACTGATTATAGTGAGCGATGTCAACAAAAAGCCCCCCAAAAAAAAGGGACCACTCCTCGCTCAGACTTTAACCTGCCGCATGTGGCTCCAAGCTTTAATCCATCATCTCTCAGAGGGGATAAACAAACTGGGGAATGATTGAGATTACGTGATGCAAAGATGTTTTTTTTTAAAAGCACCAAATCAATGTTTTTTGGCTTCGAGACAAGTCACAGATTATGTTAAGAGTGTGGTGATGAATCCAGCTGTTGGCACTAAACAAAGAGGCGACGACCCGCTGAGAGATGATTAGAACAAAAGCCAAAGCTGCACGCTAAAGTCTGCTACCTCCATTTTCAGGCATGATCTACTCTAATAAGAACCTGCTGGTACAATTATCACAGAGAGAAGAAGACACACATTAAGTGTTAGAAGGGGATGCCTCAATATGTAAGGCAGATGAAACCTATTCACCCTTCCAAAATAAAAAAGGGACAAAACAAAGCCCTCAAAAACACATCATATGTCCCTGAGAACCAGCTCAACTCCCTCCAGCAAATCCACCACATTAGCTTATTTACATTCCTCTCCGGTGGCTGGGGTTGGAGTAAACCAAGGCCTCTATAAAGTGCTTCTGTCAGTGAGGGTCTCTGCTGGGGGACCTCCAGCTACTGGAGCCAAAAGTCTGGCTCAGTGCACTTCAGGTATTGCTCTGGTTTGGATAGGAACACAAGACAAGTTGCATCAGGGCCGGTGGAGCTACAATTGATCGGCAGGGTGTAGAAATATAATGCCCGTTTAGAAAATCAAAAAGTTTGATTTAAAAAAAGGCATTCAGGCACGACTGAGGTCAACATGGCTGCCAGCGACAACAAGGCCCACACTGGTAGGAAAGACAGAGAAACACTGACAGGAATGACTAGACAGATGGCTTTCAAGGAAGATAATGGTTTGGGACTGAAACAACAAACTCAACCCATAATTAAATTTCCCAACTGGAATAGGATGTAATCTCTTGTAATCAAAGATGTTGTCGTGGATCATCCACATTTCATAAGGCTTAGAACAATGCTTTCCCTCCTTCAAAAGAACCGTAAAAAGCTAAATCACTCTCCAAAGACTCAAAAGGCACTTGAGCGCTGCAGTTGCTGGTTGTAACTCTGACAATGTGTGGCCCCTGACTTGTTGTTAAAAAGACTATGGCAGGTCACCTACCAAAGTTCAGCAGCAGAGCGTGCCCTGACCCAGGTTGTGACCTGAGCGGGGGAGGGGGGGGGGGCGAGCTGACCGCCCACTCAACAATTCCTCTCACCAGCCAGGAGTCGTGCGCCAGCCAGATAAGAGGCGCTGCTGGTTATCTGTGGAACGAGCAGCAGAAAGGCAGGAGGGGAGCTTCTGGGAAACGCAGCAGCTGTCTCTTACATAAGAACAACTTTCCCTCTCTCAAGCCTGGATGCTGTAATATCAGGAAAGTGAAGAGATACGACATGTGAAAGTTACAGCTAAGGCTCATACAGCTAAAGCTAATCTGCTAGCCGCACCGCAAGAGCTCATAATTAACTGTCTATAATAAGCTTGGCTAGAAATAGTAATTCATAAGTTTGAGGACCTGCACCTCAGTCACATTTTTCAGGGGGGGGGGGCTGGTAGTAGCTTCCAGGATTCTTCAAACTCCCAAAGGGGAGAGGAATCCCACTGGCAGACGTGAGCATTTCTCTCGACATACCAGCTGCACTCTGCGCTCCCATGACCACAAAAGGGGTTCAAACACTGCGTGGTAAAGAGAGGACAGGAAGTGACTCAGCTCCCCACACATGTAAGGTGGCAGGGCACCGAAGATATCACCCCCAGGGAAAAAAGAAAAAGAAGATAATTATAGTTTGAAAGCCAGTCAGTGAGCTGCGTCAGAGGAGGATCCCGTTTCAGGTTCGCGGTCGAGCCTGCGATGGTTGTGAGGGACGCCATGTGCTGCTCCTTTTTAGGGAAGGGACTCCCAGCCAGCCTCGCTCCAGGCAGCGAGGCCGGCCTCCCGTCAGAGAGCTTCCCACAATGGCCATAAGACTGACATCTGGAGGTCACTGGTGAGGCTTTGGAAGAGACTTAAAAACACAGAGGAACATAAACTCCTCAGACACACAGGAGCCATCTTTCTGAGGCCCAAGCTGTCCCACTTGGAGCCCGTCTCGACTGCAAAGTACAGGTCTGAGTAAAGTGGATAGGGAGGGGGGGGGGGGGGGGGGGGGGGGAGGAGTGGAGCTTGTCCTACACTGAAATTCACAGTGGAAAATAAAAATATACACATTTTTTTTTGCATCTCCTGCACTGTTTACAAATCACAGGCACTGTCGGCGTATCAGGGAGACTACAAATGTATGCAAGAGATATTTACATGTCTAAATGAATTAAAATAAATGGACTCCGCTCGCTTCCCTCTTCATATCTGATGTGAACAAAGTTATTAGTGTAACACCTTTTTTCCCCTCCCCAGTGAATCAAACATATTTATAACACTGGTGCTCTGCTTTTTTTTGGGGCTCGTCACCTATTATATATCCCCTACCCCAATAATACTATTTTTAAATATTTTACATTTTTTTCTGCCTTTCACATTTGTATTATTATTTTTTTTTACTAAATCACAGGAGAAAAATAAATTTTAGGCTATAACATTATTTTCATCCCTTTTTCAAAAACATAGCCAATACTTAAATTATTGGGGCGTACATCTGGAGGTTAAGGCACAAAACACAACTCTGATAAACAACCAAACATGAGAAAGAAAAAAGAAAAAGAAAGTCTAAACACTTAAAAATATCACTTTCTATTCAATGACCTAGACAACTCTGAAGATGAGGAATGAGAAAGTATTCCAAAAACAAAGCAAAACACCTGTCCACTTAAATATAATTGTGCCTTGAGAGGAACTTTGTATTTATTGCCTCAATATATTTTTTTCTGTTTTTTTAAGTCCTTCTCTTGTCTCCAAAGCAGCGGGCCCTCTTTTACATCCGTCCACTTTATGTCAGTTACATGGCAGCCATGTTGGAATGTTCTGGTTAGCCACATAGTAGTTGCTGAAGTTGTGGTCTCGGACGTAGGGCGCCGGCTGATAGTAGCAGGTGACGCAGGACGCGTCAGGGATAGCGTTCTGCTCCGCCAGCACTCTGAAGGCCATCAGCGAGATGAGGTGCAGCGTCTGCCTCCGCTCGTGACCCATGAGGCACACCGTGCTCTCGTTGACGACGCGCCGCAGGATCATGAGGTAGTCGTACTTGCTCTTCTCCTCTCCCACAAAGTGGCTCTGCAGGTAGGCCTCCACCTTGCGCTGCTGCTCACCAATGTCAGGGAAGTCAATGAAGAAGCGGGAGCACATGTAGCGCTCCAGGGCCTTGAACTCCTCTTCACTGGCAGGACGGAAGTCCCTCACCAGCAGATTGCAGTATTTCAGCAGGCCGCCGCCGCGGATCTCCTCGGGCCGCTTGGTGGCGATGAGTTTGTCCCGCAGGTGGCCCAGCGCCAGGCTGAAGTCCCCGTACACACTCTCCCCGCTCACTGTGGGGTGGAAGGCCTGAGACATGGGCGTCTGTGCCAGCTTGTAGTAGGAGAGCATGGAGTCCAGCACGATCTGAAAGGAGTCCACACTGAACTCAAACTGCCGGCGTATCGAGTCCACAAACTTCAGCTCCACATTGCGCCCGTTGTTGTTGGAGAGGGAGATCAGACTCCAGCGGTCCTGCTCTGTGTTGACTTTCACCAGCTTCTGCACGTAAGCCTCTTTGAGAGTCATGGGTGTGATTTTCTCCTTGTTTACACCCTCAGGCAGAAAGTCCAGCAGGGTTCCCAGCACCACGTCCTTAATGAGCCTGTACTCTGACTCGTGCGGCATGTCCACCCTGAAGATAACGTCCAGGTCCTTGTAGCTCCAGCCAACATCCTGCACCAGCACGTGGCTGGCCGTGGAGCCGTTGAGCCGGACGTCCTTCACTCGGATGCCCCTGAGCTCCAGGCGAGAGCGCACCCGGGCCACGATGTCCTTCAGCCGCACCTCGAGGGTGGGGAAGTTCCCCCTTCCGTGGACGGGCACAACCTCCGTCAGAACTTCATTCAGCCGGCTCACCTGGTCCCAGGTCAGCACACTGACGGAACAACTCTTTGATTCCTCCTTGTTATCCATCTTCTCACAAAGTTCAGATTAACTGAGGAGGCAGGAGAGAAAACAGATGTTAGTTGTGATTTTTAAACGGGACATAAACCAAGCAAAATACACAGACTATCACTATACTAAAATCATTTTCTTTGAACATGGGAAATGTATTAAATATATAATCGATACATTTATGTATTTTAGTGAAGCATGTTGTTACACATACAGCAGACATTACAAAAAAATACAAGTAATAAAAACCGTAAATACATATTCCACAGTAGAAATATATACATCTACATGCATACAATATAAATGCACGCTAGAATAGATCAAACTACTTCAATTAAAAATGTATATAAAGAATGCTGTATACATTAAACAATAAGGGAATACATCAAAATATAACTTCCGGCTTCAGTGTTGAAAGTTGTCACTAAACAGTAGCAGCATCATGACCCATTCAGCACGAGCACAGCTGAATGTGAGCACGAGACAACCTGCTCGCTCACTCTGTCGCTCACACACACAGTGGAGGACAGAGCGCGTGAGGCTTCTAGAACACCGCGAGCCTGGCTTTTATTCCAGAACTGCTGAGAGACAAACACACCAACTAGATTTAAAGTAAATAGACAACTAAAGCCAGGATTTTCAAAAAATAATATCACCTGTTTTGATTATAATTATGGATGCATTCATGCGTTTATCACAGCTGGGAAACGAGGAGCTAGTTTTAATCACTTTGTATACTGCAGGGTAGCTTGTGAATGTTACTACAGGTTTAACTCTTATTCAAGTGTTAAAAATACAGCACTGTCCAATATACCAGTAACCGTGTCACACGTTGTCAAAAACATCATAATCATTTGTTCCAGCTGATTTATCAATTGGGCCGTGACGAGTGCAGCATTTCAGTTGTACGTAAACCGCTAACGTTTCCATGGTTGCTAACGGCTGTCGGCTACAGTAACTTTTTTAAACCATGAATGCGTTTAAAACTAACGGTAACTCTTGTTGCCATAACGATAAGTAGGACGAGTGAAGTTTGACTCAATATGAAAACATATGGCGACGAATCTGAGAATCTAGCAAAGTCACGTTTAACATACGCATTGGAATAATGAAGAAAACTAAAAAAAGTACGAATTACGTTAAAATATCCCAACTAACATCACGTTTCGAATAATGCCTACGACTGGTTATACTTTTAAAAAGCGAATGTCATGTCACATGTCTATCCTATGTGGAGTTAAAACATGGCTTCTTTCTGGACATAATCACATACATGAACCGTAAAAGTAGTACATACATTTTCAAAAGCGTCCTCTGAAAAGCACTCAGTCAGAAAAAGAAGATGTTAACTTGGATTTCGTGCAGACACCTCCTCATAATCCACTTGCTGGGAGACAAACACATGCGGTTCTGCGGAACAGTCTCTATTTGAACCATCTGCAGTAAGACACGCCCGCTTTATAAAGCCGAAGCACCACCCACTGAAACAAATGCACCGCCGTGGCATAACACAGTCCCCTCTATTTATATGTAGCGTGGCTTTTACAAATTAAAAGTTCACTATTAAAACAGTATATGTAATATGCTATAACTTATATATTTTACATTTAACATAAAACACACATGTTTGTATATTTACCCAAAGAATAGTCCAACTTTCATCATCAGCAAGTCACACAGGCGTGAAATCGTTGAGTTTGATTGTAGCAATGCGCCGAACGAAGCATCTGATTGGTCGACGAGGTTTTTGCGTTGCCAAGTAACCAGGGTCGTCTCCATGCAGCCGGCGTTCTCTGACGTTTCATTTGAAAATCAGCTGTTTTTGTTGAAAATTACACTGGTTTATTTTAACTTTAAATAATATTACATTCTACTCTGTTATTATTTTTATATGACTAAAGATTTGAAAAACATTCCCACACACATAAGTTAACCCAAGATAAATACTGTATAATATAAAGCCTTGAATTATTGTAAACGTATTGATTATGTGTGGTACCTTTCACACACACACACACACACACACACACACACACACACACACACACACACACACCACACACACACACACACACACACACACACACACACACACACACACACACACACACACACACACACACACACATATATATATATACAAATTAATATCTGTCTAAGTTGTAATAATTTGGTTGATGTTAATGAATAATTTGTTCTATTGTTTATTATAACTAATACAAATAAAACATATATTTTAAATGTATTTTCCTGAATTCATATTTTGTCAAGTCTACAAGCTTATTCAAACGTTTTTATGAATTAAAATAGAAAAAAATAACCAAAATAAAAAAATACACATACAAATACATATATATTAATATAAACACATATACCCAATATTATATAACATAGTATGTTTTGTCAAGAAACAACCGGCTGTTGTTGAAAAGCTGAGGAAGAAGAAATCTGACCAGTCTTTTTACATCACTAAAAATATTTCAGTCCCATATGTTAGGTGAAGGCCACACTAACACAGCAGGTGGGACCCTCCCTCAGATCTCTATACCTAATTTCCAGGGAACACATACAAACATTCCTGTGTAGATCTGTTTCTGTTGCACACACACATTTAACAAGCATTGACAAACATCACAGCTGCATTGGAGATCCCCCCTGTGACATAACCTGGACAAATAGTTTCTCCCTCCCTGCACCAGACATTATTCTGAATGACGCAGGGAAACCACAAGCATGTGTGGTGATTCTTTGGGAAATGAAACAAAGGTATAAACCACAGGATGCTCCCGCCACAATAAGAGCTTGGGGTTTTATTTTGAAACAGGAAACTTGATGATGACGGCTTAAAGGGAAAGTTCCGATTTTCTGTAGTGCAGTTTTGTGAGGTATTTTTTTAGTAAAGCAATGTACTGCTATATGAAACATATTTTAGTCACCTTGAAGTTGCTGATTAATCGCTGTTTTAATTCAGGTAAGTCATTGTTATTATTTGTGTTTTAAGGAGTTCAGATTTACCGAAGTAATTAATCACAGCAGTGAACATCATAAAACATGAACATTTAAATGAAGCACTTTTATCCAAATGTACTCCCCTATTTAAGTGTGTGACCCAGTTTCAAAGTCAAAGTCAAAGTCAACTTCATTGTCAATCTTCCAGTTTGTATGTACAGAGAGAGAGATCGAATACCGTTTCCCACAATCCCGAATCTAAAACAAAAGTATATAAAAATATGTGTGCAAATATGTATGTATATATATATATATATATATATATATACATATTATATATACATATTATATATATAAATATATATATGTATATTTGCCACCTCCATTTCTAGATATCCTGACCCTCCCCTTCTCCCCCTGGAACGCATGACAAGTGGACAAGTCATATCAATATACATTTGGCTGCAAATCTGTGTATTGCAAATATTTTTCCACTATTGTCTTCTGGCAGGAATTGGACAAATAAGGATCTTATGTGACTGGCTGCAAATGTTGAATTTAGTTTCCTGCTTGACTGGAAACACACACACACACACACACACACACACACACACACACACACACACACACACACACACACACACACTCACACACACACACACACACACACACACAACACACACCACACACACACACACACACACTCACACACACACACACACACACACCACACACACACACACACACACACACACACACACACACACACACACACTCACACACACACACACACCACACACACACACACACACACACACACACACCACACACACACACACACCACACACACATTCTGTTTCCTCCAGGCTTAGAGCCACACACACACACCAATCAATATGTGTCAGTGAAAGGGAGAGTTGGGGGTTACAAGGAAGTGATGCGTGATGCAGATTCTCGCAAAAGACATTTATCCCTTTCTCTACTGCGAATGTGTGTGTGTGTGTGTGTGTGTGTGTGTGTGTGTGTGTGTGTGTGTGTGTGTGTGGATGTTGGGGGGGGGGGGGAGTGGGTAGTACATCTGTGTCAGTGAGTCAGCAACAGATTTGATAGGAAACCAACAGAGCAGGGGGGTGGATTCCCTGTCGTTGTGTCTCTGCGTCATACTTTCTTGAAAACTGAAATGCACAGAGGGAACATGCAGTGCTTATTCTGTCATTGTGACAAACTGATATAGAAACAAGAAGGGTTATTGAATATGCATGCAAATGTTCTCATTCAGAAAGTCTCAGCTCAAGAGGAACAGGGTTTACTTTATGGCAGTAATATTTGTGATACAGGAGGATGAGACAGTATTCTTTAAAGATCAATCTCTCCAAACACAGCTGTGAGATCAGGCCTTTCCCAACTGAAAAGTTAGATTTGCGGTAAAATGAACTATGAGGCAAACAATAAATACTTTTCTCATGAAATACTCTTTACATTTCTGAAAAAATCACAAAGACTTCCTACAATGACATCTTCAGTCGTCCATACATTGAAGATTCTCAGTTTACACGTATTTAAAACAAAGGAAAGCTGCATATCATCCCATAAAGTATAGGAACAAGATGAAAACAGCAAATGTCTGACCACCAAATCCTCAGGGTCAATATGTTTGGCCAATTTTAAATCTGGCTTACATCTGGGTCAAAACTCTAGTAAGGAATCCCTACAATATGTTGCCCCCCACTGTAGAGCCTTGCCCCCCCAGCTGCCCCCCTAACCTTTGTGTCCCTAAAACTGTACTTGTAGAAACAAACCTACACTATGTCTACAAGCTTCTCAAGCAACGAAACAAGCAGTACATTCATTACAAGTGAATCATTTGAAATATCATCTTAGGCCCGTTAAAAACGCAGCTACGGCCCTGCATTGAACTGCGGCGCGGCGTTCACACAGACCGCGGCTCACACCGCTGCAGAGAGGGAGCGAGCTGTCCCAGCACCTGGAGGTGGATCAGCACCTGGACCAGCACCTGAAGGAGGTGGACCAGCACCTGAAGGAGGTGGATCAGCACCTGAAGGAGGTGGATCAGCACCTGGAGGTGGACCAGCACCTGAAGGTGGATCAGCACCTGGAGGTGGACCAGCACCTGGAGGTGGATCAGCACCTGGAGGTGGACCAGCACCTGGAGGTGGATCAGCACCTGGAGGTGGACCAGCACCTGGAGGTGGATCAGCACCTGGAGGTGGACCAGCACCTGAAGGTGGATCAGCACCTGGAGGTGGACCAGCACCTGGAGGTGGATCAGCACCTGGAGGTGGATCAGCACCTGGAGGTGGATCAGCTTCCCCTGGGAGCATTTCCCCTTCGTTTTGTTTTGACTAAAGACTAGAGCTTGAAACAAAAATATGAATAAAACTCTGCTGTTTGAATCGATAGCGTTTAACAGACGGTCGCTGTTTGGGACGTACCTGCTGAAAGAAACAGCATAGACCAGCTTAAGATGGTTGCTGGTTTAGCTGGTGTTAGGCTGGTTTAGTTGGTTTGTTATTGGTTGTGAGAACTTGTGACCCCATGGGCTATGCTGGTTTAGCTGGCCAGGCTGGTCTTGCTGGTTCAAGACCAGCCTGGCCAGCTAAACCAGCATAGCCCAGCATGGATGTCATCAGGGCCGTGTCTTCCTGTAGGCCAGTGGTTCTCAACCCTTTTCTGCCAGTCCACTTTGAACAGGTGGGTCTTTTCAAGTGAGCTACTTTTACTCCTCTTGTTTTTGTTTTTTGCAGTGTATATATTTAGCACATTTTAACATTATGATATGCTGACCTTGAACCTGTGTGTGCTGTTTGGGTCTGTGGGACCCGTTTTCAGTGTTTACTAAAATAACATGTATGCAATTTAATTATTTTAACCTGCTTTATTTGGGGGTGGACCTCCCCTCCTCCAGGGGGGTCCGGGGGCATGCACCCCCTGGAAGATTATTTTTTAAATGTTGAAGTGAAATGCATCAATCTGGAGCACTTTGAGCACAACATGAATGTATGGATACAGCTCTCAACACTCATGAAAAGGAGCTGTATACTTTTCAATAATCCAAACATCTTTAGAATATGATCACAACCAATAACAAATCATTTAAACTTGTTTATTCTTATCTAATGTTACCTAGTTAGCATTCTTTCTTTTTATGTATGCTTATTTTACTAATCACTCCCCTTTTAAACTGTTTTTTTTTTTTTACTGTCCTATAGTACACATTGGAATGATTTCTTACTTTATTTTCTACAACTAGGCTATATTAAATAGATAAAGGTGTGCTCTCTCGCTCTCTCTCTCTCTGTCTCGCTCGCTCACAGAGGCTGTGTGTTCCTCCGTGGTGATGACGGATAATAATAATAGAATTTCAGTTTGATTGGATAGTAGAGATCTACTGGAAACAGTGGAGAGGGAGGAGATGATATCTTTAGATATACAGTCTATGGATGATATGCAGCAAAAGGCCCAGC